GCGTTGTGGCGGGCACCTGTGGTCCCAGCTACTTGGGAGGCGGAGGCAGGAGACTCGCTTGAGCCCAGGAGTTGGATTTCCAGCTTCTCAAGAAGATTTGTTTCTTGGGTATTCAACCTTGATAGTAAATCCTGCCTCATCCTTCCATAGTAATCTCTACTTCTGAGAGCTGCGTGCGCTGTTTACCGTTTGTTCATCATGAGAATGGCTCTGATATAAGGAGATCAGTTCCCATAATGTCACCTCATGCCTTCTGGAACACAGCCGCTAAATGGTGGCTCACCCCTCAGAACGGATCCCAGTGAATTTGGTATCCCAGGGTTTAAAGAACTGTCCCGCGGGACCTTTGCATCATGTGGATTCTCAGACTGGGATTTTTACACACATGCACCCATTCCCAGTTTCTTCTCCTGGCCACAGCAAACTGCTAGCCTCTTCTGGGAACTTTCTGGCTTCCTATTTTGTCCCAGAGGGAAACCAATGATGTCCTCAGTCTTTTCATGATGCTCTATTTCAGCAGTCTCTGTGGCTGGCTTGTCTTGGACAGTGATGCCCTCTTCCTGCTGCTGCGGCTGCTTTTCATTCGGAGGCATTTATAGGTGCTTCCAGAAAGCTCAAGGAGCTTGTGGAAGGTTCAGAGCAGAGTGGGTTTCCATTCATTTCAATTGCATTTGTTTTTTTTTTTTTAACTTGGATTCTGTTCGTGCTTTGCAGCACTGTTGGGTAGGAGAGAGTTTGAAGGTGGTTGCGGAGAAGGCCTCAGCGTGAAAGGATTAGGGGTCTAGACTCAGTTTGCAGTTGTTGGTACAGGCTTGTGGCTGACACAGGTATGAGTCATCAGCCTGTGTCTGCTCAGGCTGGGCAAGGGCCTTCACAGGCATTTTTAAAGATCATAGTGCTGTACAGTGAATGCCTTTCCTGTCCTCGAAGGCAGAGGATGATTCATGGTGACAGGCTTAAGCTGAATATGGTTTTTAAGCTTGACTATAGACTTTCTGAATCATGAAAAAGTGGAACTGCTTCTGTGTTCTCATTCCCTGAGTCTTGGTCTCAGTGTGAGAAAATAATGTTTTAAGATCAATAAAAAGGAATTCTGAGTACAGCTTTGGGTTCTATGACTCAATTAATGGGGAAATGGAGGCAGGACATGAGATTCCTCTGCTATTGCTCACATCCTCATCTGTAGGTTCAGTACCCAGATCTCTATGTCAGCGAGAATCTCTGCCTTGGGTTGGTGATAAGTCACATATACTCACCAACACTCAGAGGGGGATGCCCTCTCATTCACTGGTTGTTAAGACTACAAGTTAGGCGTGGTGGCTCACACCTATAATCCCAGCACTCTGGGAAGCCAAGGCAGGAGGATTACCTGAGCTCAAGAGTTTGGGACCAGCCTGAGTAAGAGTGAGACCCTGTGTCTACTAAAAATAGAAAATCTAGCTGGGCATGGTGGTGGATGCCTGTAGTCCCAGCTACTTGGGAGGCTGAGGCAGGAGGATCGCTTGAGCCCAAGAGTTTGAGGTTGCTGTGAGCTTTAAGGCCATGGCACTCTACCCAGGGCACAGAGTGAGATTGTCTCAAAAAAAAAAAAAAATGCAAGTTTGAGTACATGTACTGGATATACAGAAAGAGGTTTAAACAACCAATGTCCAGTAGTCATCTGCCATGAGTGTGACCTTGTGTACTACCACAGAAGGGGGACCTTCAGCACAGTTCCTCCATCACGAAGTTCTCCATCTCCTTGGAAAGTAGCTGTGTCCAGTGTCAGCCACAGTATGAGGCAGAGGTTGATACACATTATAAGTGAAGACTGAGGGCCACAGAGGAATTTGTCACCTTACGTGTACGATGTGCCTAAGGTATTATTATTATGAATAAAGTATTCACAAAAAACTCTAAATTATTGGAAGCAGGAAGCTATAACATATACATGCAAAGGTATGTTACATGGCCATTAAAAGGAACAGGACAGATTTATAACATATGTTACAAAACCATCTCCATCTCTAAGGCCTGTTATTAATCCTACAACTCAATAGCAAAAAAAGTTACAACCTGATTTCAAAATGGGCTAAAGACATGAACAGACATTTCTTCAAAGAAGAGACATGCAAGTAGATAACAAGAATATAATAAGATGCTCAACATCACTAGTGATCAGGGAAATTAAAAACAAAACTATAATGAGATATCACCTCACACTTCTCAGGATGGGTACTTTAGGAAAAAAAAAAAAACAAGCATTGGTGAGGTTGTGGAGAAACTGGAACTCTTGTACACCACACACAAAATGGGGCAGCTACTATGGAAAAAACATGGAGTTTCCTTAAAAGTTTTCAAAATAAGAAAACTTTACCATATGATCTTGCAACCGTACCTCTGACTATTTGTCCAAAAGAATTGAAATCAGGATCCAAACATCTATTTGCACTACCACGTTTATTGCAGCATTATTTACACCAGGCAAGATGTAAAAACAATCTAAATGCCTATTGACAGGTAAGCAGATAGAAAAAAATGTGGTATATACATACAGTGGACTATCACTCAGCCTTACAGTAGGAGATGCTGCCGTTTGCAGTGTGGGTGAGCCTAGAGGACATTTCATGAATAAACCAGTTACAGGGAGACAAATACCACACGATTCCACATATGTGATAGATGAGGAAAGCACTCAAATTCATAGCATCACAGAGTGGAGTGGCATTGCCAGGGGCTGGGGATAAAGTTACAGTCAGCCCCCATAATGGAGCCTACACTGAAACTTTTGTTACAGATGTAGATCTTACATTAAGTATTTATCATAATAAAATAAACAAATTTACATGTTCTTATCACAATAAAAGACATTGTTAAGCAAAAAAGAAGGATATAGAACAATGAATAGTTTTATCCTATTTGTGTGGAAAGGGTATATTTACACATGTATAAATAGCTTAATTGTGTATGCATATATAGTATAGCTTAAAATATTTCTGGATGATTCACAAGAAACTGCGAACACTGGTTTACTTCTGAGAAGTGGCACTGTTATTTTATATCATTTCAAAGTATTTGATTTTTTTAAAACATATTTTTTAATTTATAATTACCAATTTATATCTTTTTTAAAAAGCTTCCTTTATATCATGTTTTGCTTGATTCAGAACATCTTTATACATATGGCAGACTCATCTGATCTCAAGAAAATCTGGACGTTTATTGAAAATTTCAAGCAGGAACATAAACTTTGTGTTCTGCTGAGCTTTGTTAAGTGTGAGTAGAGGATAAACCTCATGTTTGCAAATTTCTCATCTTTATGGATGTGGGCGGATAGGCTTTTGTGTGTCTTCATGTATGAATCTTGGTAACAGTCTCTTATGGTTGGGCCTATTCATGTGATTAGGAAATCCACACGTTGGTTAGATTTGTGGGGAAAGGAAAGGATCACCCGCCACTATCATATTGAGAGTCCTGAGTTCTATTTATTTGGGGAGGGTGTATTCATTTAGGGGCTTGTGGAAAAGCAAAGAGCTCAGTCCAAAAGAGCACCTGCTGCATACAAGCAGGTCTTGTAGTGACAAGGGTGTGAGGCCCGTGGGGGGCCCGGGAGGACGCAGGTGGAAAGGTGCCCTGTCTGCTCTTCCCAGATATTCCACTTTGAGCTGAGCTGCTTTCTTGTCTAGCTAGTTTCTAATGTGCTCTAAAATGACATTTGTACCAGACAGTCCACAGTTGCACTGTCCACTATGAAACAGAGCATTTCAAATGGAGCCAGTCCACATCAAGATGTGCTGTAAGTATAAAAATTAGCAGATTTCAAAGACTTAGTGTGAAAAAAAATTATGTATGTTATGTCATTAATATTTTTTATCCTGAGTACATGTGGAAATGATGCTATTTTGGATATATTTGGTTAAGTAGAATATATCATTATTAAAATTACACTCAGCTGTTCCTTTTTACCTTGTTAATATGGCTACTAGAAAACTTGAAAGTAGTTATTTCCATTGGACATTGCTGATCTAGATGAATTTTCAGAGCACTTTCTGTGAGGTAAGTTTCCTGGTCTTAACTGGCAAGCTTTGCACAGTTGTACAGCTCAGTATTACACAGTGGCATTTTCCTAGAAGGGGCTGGGAATGAAGCATCAGTTGAGCAGAACTGTCACTTCAGTGTTGGAAAGAGCTGGGCATTGGGGTGGTGGAGTTGAGGAGTTTAGAAACAGATTTCCTGCACTATTTTTCTTTATTTTGAAATGGGGGCTCTAATTTTCAGATCAAGAATACAGTTTACTCAGTCAATAAAAGAGCTCACAGAAGACTCTGGGTAAATACAAGCAGTTTTCTTGTTTTTTTTTTTGTTTGTTTGTTTTTGTTTTTTAAATAAACACTCCCAAAGAGGAATCATAGAAGGATAAAAAAAAAGACACTAATTAACTTACTGGGTTCCTGGTCTCGGCCTGATTACATTTGCTTAAAGTTTAGCCTTACATCTTCCTTCTCTCCCCTCCCTCCCCTCCCCTCCCCTGTCCTTTCCTCTCCTCTCCTCTCTTTTTTTTATATTGAATCTCAGTCTGTCATGCTGGGTAGAGTGTTGTGGCCATTGACAGCTATGTTACTGTCATAGCTCACAGTAACTTCAAACTCCTGGGCTCAAGCAATCCTCTTGCCTCAGCGTCCTAAGTAGCTGGGACTATAAACACCCGCCACAATGCCAGACAGGGTGTTCCTCTAGCTCAGGCTGGTCTCTAGCTCCTGAGCTGAAGCAATCCATTTGTCTCAGCTGTCCAGAGTGCTGGGATTATCAGAGTGAGTGAGCCACCAGGCCAGCCTTTACATTTATTTTTCTTTATAAAACATTACTTTTAACACATCTCTTATAATATGTATCAGTGCCAGGAATACATGTTAATGCATTTTTTTTTTTTTTCTCTAGGAACTCAAGACTCTTTAGAGACATTATTTTGAAGACAATTCAGCTCAAGTGGTAAGTGCAAATATAAACTCTGAAGCCAGGGAATTTCCAGCCACGGCTGAGGAAGGTGCAACCAGTAGACAAGAAGATGGACTGAGAAGGACACTGGCCAGACCACAGGAGACCTGGGCTCCAGTTCTGGCTCTGTCATAGCCGGCTGATGCCATTTCCCATCAGGCCAGTGGTTCTCACAGGGGCTTGCAGGCGAGCAGCACCAGCAGCTGGACCTGGTAGTCGTCTGCATTCTCAGACCCACCTCCAGATCTGTGGAATCCAACACTCTGGGATGGGGCTGAGAGTTAAATCCATTTGAACAAGACTTCCAGATCATTCTATTGCATACTAAAGTTTGGAAACCAATATACCAAGCTCTTCAGATTTTCTCCTTCTGAACCAAGAGGTCTGGAGTAGATTATCTTGCTCCCTCTCAGCTTGGAGGTACGATGAATCTAAGACTGCCCGGTAGGAGACCATATAGTTCAAGGAAAGGAGAAGCAAGAATTAAGCTCTGAATGCTCTGTAACTATAAGAAACACCGGTGATATAACATCTTCATAACACCTTGGTGATAAGGACACAGGGAAAGAATTTGGCTCTCGTTAACACGAGAATGCGAGCGCCAGTGCTTGGCCGTCTCCACACCGGTGGTGCAAATAGCCATAGGATCACTTCTATAAGTAGCTGCAGGAGCGGTTAGTCCAGGTTAATTAGTTCATTCATACTCTCACCGACTCGTTCACTCAAACTCTTTTGCTCAGGCTGCTCTGAGGGTGTCTACCCGATGCCCTTCTTCGAAGACTGTTTCTCTCCCTTAAAGACTGTGTCTCTCTTTCTCTCTCTGGCTAAGATCAATTGCCCTCCATGTAGGGTTGGTCTATAAGAGTCTGGGGTGTCACTGTACAGGGTTGGCCTATAACCCTCTGGGGTGTCACTGTGCAGGGTGTGTCTGTAACACTCTGGGGTGTCACCGTGCAGGGTGTGTCTGTAACACTCTGGGGTGTCACCGTGCAGGGTGTGTCTGCAACACTCAGGGGTGTCACTGTGCAGGGTGTGTCTGTAACACTCTGGGGTGTCACCGTGCAGGGTGTGTCTGCAATACTCAGGGGTGTCACTGTGCAGGGTGTGTCTGTAACACTCTGGGGTGTCACC